CCTTTTGGGCAGGAGTAAGGATCAATGGTCTTTTTTTCAGCTTCTCTCCTGAATGTTTCTCTCTCTCTATGGCAGAGACAGTATTTTGTTTATCATCGTCTCCTGTGTTCCTGAAAAAATAATAAAAAATGCCTTCTTTCCCTTCAATTAGTCAGCAGTCAGGGACTCCTTGTTTTCTCTGCAGGGTACTTATTTGTTTCATCTCAGTTTCCTGCTCTTTTTTCTTCCAAGGTCATTGAATCACACTTTGATAAATACATTGTTATTAAGGTTTATTAGAGGCAATTGCAATCGTAGATATTTTAAATTAATGTCCTTCATTATAATGAGTCAGAAAGTCAATGAGCTGAACATTTTTTCTTTTGTAGATATTCAGCATCATTAGTCAGTCAGCATGTCCCTGCTCTGTGTGGAGTACTCTTCTGAATTCAGTGTGGTGCGGTGAGGGCAGTGTTTCCTGCAGAAGCATGCTGCACAAAGGAGAAGGGGGTTACACACGCGTATGACAGAACTGCAGCTAAGTGACTGGAAGGCAGGAAGCATGGGGACAAATGAATAGCCCACTGCCTGACTAACCCAGGAAATCTTAGGTGTGTCTTGCAGAAAGCTGATAAAACTTCCTAAGTGAAGAGAATTATCATGAATATGAAGTAGAAACCAGCTGAAAATCTTGAGTGCCCATGGTATTGTATGTCGGTCATTAAAACAACAACAACAACATGAAATAAAGACAGTATTTTTATAAATTCATAGGGAAGATCACAGGTTCTCATGGAAAAAAAGACAACGTGTAGTGGATGACAAATACAAATAAGTGCACAGTAATGTAGTAAAATGAACACCTAATTGCAGAAGCAAGGCTAAATTAAGTGGAAGGGACTCTGAAATGGGGTCAGGGTCAAAAGTGATGGGGAGAAAGGGAGAATGCTCTCTGATATAACTCAGAGATGAAGTCTGGGGACAATGGGAACATGCTGGGAACAGGATGATCATGATAGGATAGTGATGAACATATTGCTTCTGGTGAAGATGATTTTTAAAAAAAGCATTCCATTGCATGTATCAATCACATTTTCTTTTAAAATTATCTTTATTGGGGTAACATTGGTTAGTACCATTATGTAAGTTTCAGGTACACAATTCTGAAATACATGGTCTGTATATTGCAGTGTGTTCACCATCCAGTCTAGTCACTTCCCCTCTGATAACCACCATACTTGTCTTATCTAAGAGTTTGTTTTGTTTGTTTGTTGCTTTCCGATTTATATTCCACATATGAGTGAAATCATATGGCTATCATTTTTCATCAGCCTTATTTAACTTAGCATGAAATCCTCAAGATCCATCCATGTTGTTGCAAATGGCAATATTTCACCATTTTTAAGGCTGAGTAGTTTATATTGTATATATGTACCACACCCATCGAGGGACACTTAGGTTGTTTCCATGTCTTGGCTATTGTGAATAGTGCTGCAATGAATATAAGGGTACACATATCTTTAGAAATAAGTGTAATAGGTAGTAAGACAGACATGAGCAGAGCAAGGAAGATGGGCCAGATACAGAAACTCACCAGGGCAGAAAACCCTGGATGCCTAGTAACGGGCAAAACTGGGAAAACAAGATCCCCCCACCCCCCAACTCCCAATCCCCAGCCCCAGGGTAACCTTTCCTCCCATAGAAAATTGCTGATCATGAGGCTTGGACCCCATAACTTTTTATATGGCTACTCATGTGGTTTAGACCCCCCCCTGACCTTTTCCTCCCTAAAAATAACATCTAGGCCTCAGTTGTATTTCAACTCCAGGCCCAGAAAAGCAGCAAAACCAGACCAGTGACTCCATGGCTGGCCTCAGGACCAACTGCATTGACTAAAGACCCCCTGCCTTGGCTCTGACCAATCAGCGGATACCAGGACCCTGAAAGAGCACCCCTGGAAATCTGATGAATAGTCTATGGAGACCCTCCCCTGTGACCTCCCCTAAGATTTCCACCTGCAAGAGAGACATAAATATGCTCAAGATGAAGGTCCCAGGGGAGCACGCACAGGCCATCCCTTCCCCCTTCTTCCTCTAAGGGACCCCAGGAGACTTGCAACCAGGGAGCAATGGGCAGCAGCAGCTCATTCCAGGTTCACCCTCTGAACCTGTCCCCAAGGCCCCTTTTCTCTGACTTCCCAGTGAGCCAAAGCAGCCCAAGCTAGGCTCTCTTGTTACTTCTTCTATGCCCTTCCTTGTTTCACTGTCCTGAGTATATTTTTGCTCCCGCCAATAAATTTTTACTTTGCTACACTTTGTCTCTTCATTCAAATCTTTCCTTCAAGAAGACAAGAACTGATGTCTTGTCACTTTGCCTGTAACATAAGCATTTTCAATTTTTTAGGGGTAATTGCCCAGAAGAGGGATTGCTGGGTCAGGTGGTAACTATATTGTTTAAAATATGTTTGTATTGATTTCAGAGAGAAGAAGGGAGAGGGAGGGAGAGAGAGATAAAAACATCAATGATGAAAGAGAATCATCAATCAGCTGCCTCCTGCATAACCCCCATTGGGGATTGAGCTGCAACCCTGGCATGTGTCCTGACTGGGAATTGAACTGTAACCTCCTGGTTCATGGCTCGACCACTGAGCCACCTCGGCCAAGCCAATTGTTAATTTTTGGAGGAACCTCCATACTGTTTTCCATAGTGGTTGCACCCATTTACATTCCCACCAGCAGTGTATGATGGTTCCCTTTACTCCACATCCTCTCTAACACTTATTTCTTGTCTTAATGATAATAGCCATTTTAACAGGTGTGAGTGAGAAGGTACTAGTATCTTACTGTTGCAAAAAGAAGGGGCAGGGGTGGGACTCAAATACACACAATACATTTAAAAATTGCTGTGATAAACTCATGTAGTAGTTTAGATTTAACAGTTGGTCAAGTTAATTAATCCATCTAATGTATTATTATATCCCAAACAAAACCTATCCTAAGCAAATGTTTCCCAAGCCAAGCATTTTTTTAAATTAAAATCATCTTAAATAAACCATGAACAAAAACCCACAGCCAACCAAATGGGAGAAGATATTTCTAAGCGCTGGCTTTGATAAGGACCTAATACCCAAAGTAATAAAGTAAAATATATAAAGAACTCATACCACTGGACAACTTTTGGGAACTTTTTCTCTGGATAGAACAGGGCGTGGAGGCTGCAGGGTCGAGGGAGGAGACAGCTTGGGTGTGTAGACTACTGCTGTGAAGGTTCTTTTCAAGGAGGGAAAGGAAAAATAAAGTAATATCAGAGGAGGAAGACCCGAGCCGCTGTGATTTGAGGAAACTCGGGGAGGCTGGAGAGAGGAGAGGCTGAACGGTGGCGTTGGCGCAGGCTCTGGCCCCGGGATCTCGGGGCTGGGAAGGTGGGCAAGGTGAGGCGGGGCCTCCGGGACGCGCCCCCTCCCTCTGTCCCTAGAAAAGGAGCGCGGTCCTGGCTGTGGGGCTGAGTCCGGAGCCCCGCGGCGGCAGCAGAACCAGAGCCTCCCAGCCCGGAGCGTGGTGCGGAGCGTGGAGCGGCACAGACAGGTGAGCTGGGTGAGCTCGGGGCGCCGGGGCAGCGCTAGCAGACCGGCTTCCCGCCTTTCGCCTGCCCCAGGGGTGGGTCCCGCTGGGCAGGGGGTGAGGGCTTGCAGGACCCGGGTTCCTCCCGAGAGAGTTGAGACCCGCTGTCCCTCGGAGGCAGAAGCAGCACGCGTTCCCCTGGCGAGTGCAGCGCGCGCAGGACACCGCGCCAGGACGCGCGCTTGGACGCCGACGAGAGGTCCCCCATTCCTGCGGGGAGCCCTGCTGCGTCCAGGTGACCCCACCCGGGAGGAGGGCATGGTCAGGGAGCGTCGCCTGGAAGTTACGGGGAAAAGTTCTCTCCTAATACCCAGTCCCTCCCTGTCACTAATCTGTACAGTTTTCGACGTTGTGAAAGGACCTTAATCACCTGAATTCGTTTCATTTGCTTTGTCTTTTCATCCTAACTTTTTGGGGGAGGCGGCAGACGGCGGTATACAGGGGAAGATGAGTCCTGTCTTCTAGATCTGTCTGCACAACTGCACGCCTCTACCCTGGCTGTCAAGCTCGTGTGTAGGGGCGTCTCCAAGGCCAGCCTGAGATGGCAGTTCTGTGGCCCTTCCAAGCCGGTTTCAGTCCTGGACTTGCACCCAGGTGTTTTAGGCTGGTTTACTGAGCTACCAGTTGGCAGGGAAACTTGTGCAAAGAGCCATTAGAATATGTCAAGAGTTGGCTGAGTATCCTTGGCCCTGCGCCATGTCATATTAGCTTGTATCACCTTTATTGTCTTCCTGCTTCATGGATGGATGTTAATCGCCATCCAGCTCCCCAACAACCTGGGAGAAGCCACAGGCCCACCGGACCCTCTATGTCTAACAAATATTTTTCAATGAATAAAAAGGAAAGAACATTTCAATATCAGTAACTCTGAAACTTAAAATGGTGTTTGAGTGTCCACCATTTGAGTAAACTTTTCCCTCCTGGTTACACATCATGGGCTGCATTTAGGCCCACTTAGTTGGAATGTGTTGTGGTCAGAGTCTTGGCTAGGGAGACAGGAGGCTGAGCCCTTACAGAGCCGTATCACGGAGAATGTTTCCAATCTGTAAAGGGAGAAGGTTAGAGCACACACTTTTTAAGGTTTCTTCCAGCTCTAATAATAAAATGCATCTATGGCATCTTCATAAACATGTGTTGGATCTCAGTGGCTCCTGAAGACTGTTTATTAGAATATTGGTAAACAAATTGTAATTGTAATATCCTTTCAAAGGATGGTCTGTGAGTCGGCAACTTAGAAGAAAACCAAGTACATAGTAGGCCAATTTAGCTGGATCAAAAGCGAATATGTATTACTTAGAATTTTTTTTTTTAGATTTAAAGAGATCATTAATTTGATAATTTTCTTTTCAAGTTAGCGACATATCCTCTCTCTTTCTCTCTCTCTTTTTTTCCGTACAGAATATGGACTTTGCCACAAGAAGATGGTTCTGCCTACCACTGGGGTGCATGGTGCTCATCAATCTGGTTAATGCCGATTTTGAGTTTCAAAAGGGAGTGCTTGCCAGTGCCAGCCCAGGGATCACGGAAGACATTGATCTCCAGTGCTGGAATGCTTGCTCTTTGACTTTGATAAATTTCAGGGAACTCAAGATAGAATACAATGTGGATGCCTTCTGGAATTTCATGTTGTTCTTGCAGAAATTCCAGCGTCCTAGACATTACAATGTCTTCTTAAGCATAGCTCAGGATTTCTGGGACATGTATGTAGACTGCTTGCTTTCAAGATCTCATGGACTGGGCAGAAGACAGGTGATGCCTCTTAAGTATAATTTTCCACAGAAGATAACAGGAGGTAATTTAAATGTGTATTTAAGAGAATAACAGTTTAGTTTTCTTAAATACTTAATCATTTTGGTTTTTCAAGTTTATCCAACAAACTTGTCATATTTTTTCCTAATACGATCAGCTTTGATTTCCATTTTTTTTTTATTGATTTTATATCATGTAGAAACCTCAGGAGCTCTGACATACAAATACTTGATTTTATATAACCTTGGAATATAATACTCTTTGATAGATCATTAGAATTATTATCTTATTTCCCCCCATATACAGTTCATAAGAAACTCATTTAACACTTAATTATTCATATTTCATTTGTTGAAGAAATTGTTAGACATTGGGCATTAGAAATTAATTTTTAATAGAGTTGTTTAAAAGGATGGAATCTTAAGAGTCATATTATAATAAATATTCACAATTTCTCCTCTGTAACCTTGTAGGGCTGGATTTTACCAAACGTGAATTTTACATTTGAGAGAGAACATGGAAAATATCTCCAGCAAGATGACACCAACCTGAAAGTTTAACTCTGCCAGTATTAATGAGGTCAAGTATTTCCTGTAGTGTTTATCAAAATTGTTATTTCTAATTTTTTAATATTGATGGTTGTATTTTTGTTGATGTGTGTAATTGCCTTATGGCCATTGAATGATCATTTCCATCTTTTCAGGTGATTTGTTGTTTCTTGCTTACAAGGCATCTTTGTAAAGCATCTTTTAAAAATTCCACTTAAAATGCAAATGTAACATTTTTTTATGCAACAGTCAGTGGAGTAAAATTGTAATCAATTTTATAAGGTATCTTATACATAACTTTGATTTTAAAATTGTGCCAGATTAATGCCAGTATTGTTCTAAAAATATTTAATTTTGATGTAGTGTACTGTGTGACTTTGATATGTGCATTTCATCACTGAGCCATCTTATGTATTAAAGTATTTTGTATTTTCTTGTTTTTGTTATCTTCATTTTTAAAAAGGAATAACAACACAGTAAAGATTTTAAAAATAAAATAAAAAGGAATAACAAACAGAAAGGCAGTAAGAAACTTTATTTTAGTAAAGTGCAGTTTGGCGGGATTTTTGTCTTGTGTTAGCTCAGTAATTTTTTATATTTCCTATGTATATCTCGCATCTTATTCCAAAAATGATCTGAAGTTTTAAAGAAATATACCAAATAGTAGGGCAACATGAAGTAGATGAGGAAATTGGGATGATGGGTAATGAAGACAGGAAAATGTAATATGCAGTTTTAGCTTAGATCAACACTTTAAAATGCATGTCATAAAAACCTATACCTTTGATAATGGGTAGCTGTAAATTTGGTCTGAGTTTTCTACTTTTTTACTTTTCTCTTGAATCAAGAGCTGTTTCAAGATTCACAATGCTGATAAGAAGAACCAAGCAACATGTTTGGGAGAAGCCCAGCTTTTTCCAGGACACTGATCCTATAGAACTCTGGCCCATAGGGTTTCATAATGGCTGCCAGTGTACAGCACTGCTTTCAAGTATCATGAAAATGACAGATTCCTGGTAATACAGGCTGATGCCGGCACACCCAAGTGCAGTAAATATAAGCATTATTAAAAGCAGCAAAAATAATACTGAACAAGTATGCAGCTCTCTGATGGTTTGACTTGATCATAGAATACACTTTGAATTAAGTGAGGGGAACTGACATTCTTTGAGTCATGGACCACTCTGAAAATCTGATAAAGCTATAGACCCTTTACTAGATGTTGGATATACCAACACTCATCATTTTGTGTATAATTTCAGTGTGCATGTGTGTGTATGGCCATAAACCCCAGGTTAAGAATCACTAAAAGAATGAATGGACTGCATAGCTTTCAGGTATCTTTTACAAATATTATTTCATACAACTTAGTTTTATACAATAACTGGTTGCAAAGAATATGAAGTCATAAGTCTAATAAATTCCTAGATTAAAAATATTTTATCTTGCCAATGAAAGGTGGATTCCTAAGCTAAGAAAATCAACTGGTTGGAGGGGAGGGCTTATATTCTCTTATAAAAATTATCAGACAGATATCCAAGAAGATGCCTAATTCATATCCTGAAGGTAGAGGCACAAGGTCATGATTTTTCTTAGAAAAACAATTCTCTTTTACAACCCATGGGAAAATGCTTGAAGCCAAATATTCAATGCTATACAGCAAGACAACATAATTTTATTTATTTATTTATTTATTTATTTATTTATTTATTTACTTACTTACTAACTAGAGGCCCAGTGCACTAATTCGTGCACCAGTGGGGTCCCTTGGCCTGGCCTGCAGGATTGAGCTGGAACTGGCTCTCCAACATCCCCCAAGGGGTCCCAGATTGTGAGAAGGTGCAGGCCAGGCTGAGGGACCCCACCAGTGCATGATCGGGGCGGGAAGGGACCGCAGGAGGGCTTCAGGGCATGTCCGGCCCATCTCCTGTAGTCCTGATTGGCCGGACCCCAGCAGCAAGCTAACCTACTGGTCAGAGCATCTGCCCCTTGGTGGTCAGTGCATGTCATAGTGAGCAGTTGAGTGGCCTCAGCATATCATTAGCATATTACCCTTTGATTGGTTGAACGGCCAGCTAGACACTTAGCATATTAGACTTTTATTGTATAGGGTAAATATATATTTCAGAGAGGAAGGCAGAGGGAGAGAGAGATAGAAACATCAATGATGAGAGAGAATCATACATGCTCCCTACTCGGGATTGAGCCTACAACCTGGGCATGTGCCCTGATAGGAGAATCAAACCATGACCTGGTTTATAGGTCAATGCTCAACCAATGAACCACACCAGTCGGGTTGAATAAAACATAATTTTAGATTAAAAATTGTCCCACTAGTTGTCATCAATCACAGTTGTAAAAATTTTGTTGCATCAAAGATGAACTTTTTAGTGTTAATCAGTATAATTATTAGGTTTTCAAAATAGGTTAATTGCAAATGGCTTCCTAATTGAATTTACATGCTACATTGGATTATTAAAAATATCCTATCTAATAATAGACAAACATGGTAATCGACCGTACCTTCGCTACGCTCCCCATTGGCTAATCAGGGTGATATGCAAATTAACTGCCAACAAAGGTGGCAGTTAATTTGCATATGTAGGTGCAATGCTGGGAGGAGAAAGGGGAAGGATGGAAGAAGCTGCCTGCGGCTGATGGTGATCCGAAATCCAGGCGGCAGGCAAGAGCCGGGTGGCAGGACAAAGGCGGCCCCCAGGGCCGCCTTTGCCTTGCCCCCCGGCCCGTGATCAGAGAACCGGGGCTGCCATTGCCCGGCCGGTGATCAGAGAAGCCGGGCGGGGCAGGGAAAAGGTGGACACCAGCAGCCGCCTCTTCCCTGCCCCCCACCCCCCCGGCCAGTGATTGGAAACCCAGGTGGCAGGCAAGAGCCGGGTAGTAGGGCAAAGGCAGAGAACCAGGGCCGCCTTTGCCCGGCATGAACTATGCAGCTGGGAGAGGGGCACCAGGCCACTGGGAACAGGAACTATGCAGCTGGGAGAGGAGCGTTGAGCTATGCAGCCGGGAGGGGCGCCGGGCCGCTGGGAGCAGGGCGGGAACTTCCCAGGGTGGGCGTCAGGCAGCCGGGAGTGGGGCCAGAACTTCCTGCCCCGTAGCTGCTTGCTCATTCACTTACTCACTCATTATTTACTCACTCACTCAGCAAACCCTCTCAGGTCCCTGGCACCAGGCCAGGCACTGAAGTTGAAGCAGGATAAGACAGAGCTATGTCCTCAAGATGTTAGTAATTCAGTAGGGCGAAGCAGGCACATGAACGAAGCAGTTGTATGGCACAGATGCAGTGTACTGGGTTTGGTGAGGGCTGTAACTAATGCCGACTTTGTTCTCTTGATAAAATGGGGCCTCGGGAGCCAGGCTGCCCCAAGCCTGTAGGCCTGTGCCTAGGCCAGGAGCAGCCGGGGTCCCGGAACATGACAGAGGGTGCAGGTCAGGCTGAGGGGTCTGGCCCCACCCCTCACCCCCCCACCCCCGAGTGCACAAATTTTTGTGCACCAGGCTACTAGTCCTATCTAATAAAAGGGTAATATGCAAATTAACCATCACTCTGTCATGGCAGCACCCATAGCCACAAGATGGCAGCGCCCAGTCCTCTCAGCCCCGCCAGTCCCGGGGGGGGTGACTGCTGAGAGCAGGCAACGTGAGCAGCCTGGCGGAATGCTTGCTTCATTGCCATGGCGACGAGGCAAGCGTTCCACCCTGGCTGCAGAGGGCCTCTGGGCAGCGGGCACAGAGCAGCTGGGGTAGAGGGAATGGAAATGCTTGCGCCATTGCTCCGGCAATGAGGCAAGTGTTCTGTGCCCAGCTGCAGATGGGCCTCTGGCCAGGCCAGGGTGTGGAACTCTTGCATTGTTGCATCGGCGCCTAGCCATGGATAGGCCTCTGGGCAGTGGAGAGACTCTGGGCAGTGGGCGCAGAGCGACCAGACCCTGCAGAGAGCTACTGGCACATGGATTCGTGTGCAGAGCTACTAGTTAAAAAGGACATTCTGGTTTTAGAGCAGTTTATTTTAAGCCTTTTATATATCACTAGAGGCCCGGTGCACAAAAATTTGTGCACTCGGGGGTAGGGGGTCCCTCAGCCCAGCCTGTGCCCTCTCGCAGTCTGGGACCCCTCGGGGGTGACCACTTGCTGGCTTAGGCCTGCTCCCTGGGAGATTGGGCCTAAGATGGCAATCAGACATCCCTCTGGCAGCCCAGGAGCCCTCGGGGGATGTCCACTTGCCAGCGGGGAGCAGACTTAAACTGCAGTTGGACATCCTTAGCGCTGCTGAGGAGGCAGGAGAGGCTCCCACCACCACTGCTACACTGGCAGCCATCAGCCTGGCTGTGGCTGAGCAGAGCTTCCTCCTGTGAGAGCGCACTGACCACCAGAGGGCAGCTCCTGCATTGAGCTTCTGCCCCCTGGTGGTCAGTGTGTGTCATAGTGACCAGTCATTCCCAGTCCTTCTGCTGTTAGGGTCAGTTTGCATATTACCCTTTTACTATATAGGATAGAGACCTGGTG